AGAAATATACAACAAGCAAATACAAACCACAGTTGTAGCGAGGTAAAAGAGGTTTCTAGTGAATCCGCGCTACAAAAGCAAACTGTTGAAAGCAGGCTTTCAGACTGTAACTACAGTCTTCAGAATCTTAATGCATCTTGCGTTGCCGTGCGGTGATTTCTCATAGGCACGCCTCAAAAATACTCTAGCTAGTATATCTCACTGAAAGCGGTTTATGCGACTGCGGTCTTAGACGCTGCATAGCAGTTTTTGTCGAACTCGACTGATCTTTCCAATTACCAAGACCTTGTTCTCTTTCTGTGTCTTATTAAAGTTTCATATCACACGCTACACCACATCACATTGAACACGTGCACTTCTCAGCCGACGGTGTATCCAAGTGACTATCAAATTAATTTTATCCAATGAACTTTGTAAGTGTAAAGTTCCCTCTTTATGCGTGTTTCCTTAGTAGAATCATGATGTGTTGCTTCCGATGTCTCACACTTGCTAGCTTTCCTTTGGCTTAAATCAAAACTTTTTAAATTAATACAGTTTCCCCTCATTCCTTTCAATTCGCGAGGATTAAAGCGAACAAAGTTTGTTTGGTGAAAAGAAACGGTGACAAGTTATATACTGCGACCTGTTCCTACACCAGTTTTTTTACCTACTTCTACAATCTTAAACATGTCACAGCTGCTATTTCAATTTTTTAGTGACTGACAAATTGCGATTTGCAGTTTCAGTCGACAATTCACCACCAAGAAATTTTCCTAATCCTGATTATGCAAGCAAGTTTAAGGCTTGTGCGATTCTTTATTCCGGGGTTTTTTTAATAAAAATTTTCTTGTGACTTGACCACTGTTTCATTTTCCGAAGCTTGCTTTCTTTAGTCACCGGTGTCAACAACACCTGGTGCCATATGGGATTTTCGGTCACTTGGCGCTTGAAGGTAAAACTTGTGCTAAACTAAACCATCACCTTGGCGCTCAGTAACTGCGGGTGCACGATAGTGAAAGTCTACATTTCTAAATTTACTTTCTCGATTGTCGATCATAATTGTAGTTAAAAAAATTTTTGAAAAGTAATATCAGGCTTATTTATTCCCCGGCTTCTTTTTTTTCCTCAAAGGTACTGGGTTCCAGAATGAATCGAAATTAGCAGCTAAGCTAAAGTCAAAAACCTTTTTACTAAATTATTTTGTTCCAACTCGGTGACCAAGTGGGATAAAAGGCACCGCAACGTCATAAATTATTAGTTCAATGAATAAAATTTTTGGCGAAATAGGATAGCGACTAACCGAGTCATAGTGGAAGAGTAGATATTACAGTCCATTACAGTCCAGTACAGTCTTTAATCTAATTGTTTTTTAGAATTTATTTCTAGGATTCTGTCTTGTAATAACATCTAATTTTAAGTAAGACTACCTTGGCAGATAAAATTATCATGTCTGTTACAGATATCTCTGTAGGTAAATTTTAATTTTATTTTGTAATTTCTCTAGTCGATAACTGTGTATTTCGTGAAGTTCTTTAAGAACAATAAGCAGAAGGTTTTAAAATCATAAGAGGAACAAAACACATAGCAATACAATGTAGACAAAGTTTTTGTTTCTTTACTTCGACGAAGATAGCCGATTTTAATATTATCAGCAGAATTTTATAGAATTGATTAAGCTTTTGAAAGGGTTTATCAAAGACCAAAACAGTTTTTTGAAGTTCCTATTTAATTCACTAATAAGTCATCATTTTTTTTCATAGTAATGATGACAACTATAATCTATTTATATTATTTAAAGATACTGAAAACACTGTCACTTTTTTTTTAAATTTATTATTTAACAATTTCTTCTAATTGGCAACACCGCTTTTTAGTCTGTAATTTTTAAGTCTGTGAATAGGGCACATCAGTGCAGCTAATTTATGAATAAATTTTGGAATCACCCACATAAGTGTAACTAAACTTCTCTAAGTTACTTTTAGCCCTTTTAGACTATCTTTTTTACATTCTTCAACAACTAAGTGTCACATAGCAACAACAAACATAGCCCAACAAAACAGAATACAACAGATTCGCCTAAAAACATGCCATTTTGAGAATCATTTATGCTGACACTTGAACTTATCGATTTCAATAATACAGCATAGCTTAAAAGATATTGAGAACCTCTAAATAACGCTGTAACTGTTTTGCTTCAATTCAGCCTTAAAATAATTAAAACAGTGATACTTTACGCAACCTGTGACATTAAAAAATTACATAAATATCTGGAACATTTTGAAAAAAATTAAAAAATTTGGTTCAGTTACATTGTGTATATAGGAGCATCATCAAATTGTCTTGATACTCTACTGTAATATTCCTCACCGCTCCCTGTTTTGCTGTAATATGCTCTTGTCGATACGATGTCATATGTAGGTCTTAATTTTCTGACTGTTGTCTTAGCTACTCGCAAGATCATTAAAATACCAACACCAAATATCCCCACAATAATCCCTTAAAAAAGAAAACAAAAATTTTTCTGGTTGTTTTACTCAAAGAAATTATATTATTCTGTATACAGGATGTTTCTAAAGTTAACTACTATAAGACTAGTAGGCTTAAAATCAGAATTTTGAGCTATTTTTGCTCCAGGAAGTGTAATTATACTAAGCAAACATTTCACTTGTCAAACTAGCCACCGTAAATAGTAAATTTTGGTCTTAAAGCTTTTGACGGCATTGGTTTTGCACTAACAATGCTTTCAACTGGTACTCTGGAAGATCTTTTATGCTATTCCAACAAATTCCAAACGTAGTAAACTGCTAGTGGAGGAGCCCAACCACGAGTATGACAAATAAGTAACTGGTTGGAAAAAATTTTGATGAATCAGGTCGACTAGCAAAATTCTCGTCAATAGCTGATTCAGTTTTCCACTAGACACAGGGCGAAATCGGTTACAAGTAGCATCTTGAATCAAGTTTTCTTAAACAGCATGTTTTTCCAACATTTCTTGCTCTGCCTACTTTTGAAAATTTGGGGGAAGATTTCAACTCTCTTCTCTTGCGGTAACCCAATGATGAGATTCTACAGAACAATGACTATTTTACCCAGCAAAGCTTCTCCTCCACGAAAGTCATCGCTTTCCTCATTACCAGTGCAACTACAGTGGCCTCCTAACACATTTTCCAACAAAGATATTTGGATAACTGCATTCTGAACTGCACTCCGAAAAAAAAAATCTGAAGTGACTGTCTTATTTTGAAACTAGACGGACTTTTCATCCTAAAACGACTATCTGCGAAGAACGCTTATACTTTTTGATAGAAGTGGCAGAACTGTCTTATAGAAGTCTGTTTTTCACAAGTGCTAAATTACGTGTTAAAAACTTTTTTTTGAACTTGCGGATAAGATAACTTACATGAAGCTAAATTGATAGATTCTTTCAGTTTTTCCTTCGATTTTTCTGCCTAAAACTTTTGTAGAAAGTCTAATTTCAAGATTACTAACAAATATTTCAAATTTAAACAAAGTTTTACCTGTCGTCTACTTCTTACAATATCTAGAACGCTTAACTTCTCCTCTATGCTCTCCCACAATCTCTGACATTTATTACTTGTGCATCCATACGTTTTGGGAGATTCTTCCTCATAGTTACCCCTCGGTCTTGCTTGACAGAAGACGTCCTGAACTCCAGACTCACAAGCGGAGTTGGACAGATTGCCTGAAACCCATTACTCAATGACAGTTGCTTTAAAACGCGTTTATGACAGCCGAGGAAAATTGGTCCAATCTTTCTCTTTCCCAAAAGCTACTGTATAACACAAAGATTTCAAAGATTATTGAAAGACAGCGACAAAATGAGTTTATTTAGTTTACCACTATAATCTTTCGTATATGTGATAGCAGTGAGCGATTGTTTAGTGTTACGCTGTTTTTGTAAAGGAACTCAACGCATGAAAAACAATTGTGTATGCTGTCATGAACATTATATTCTTAAACAATAGGCTGCATATGTCTGACGAAGAATGATCACGTTATTTAGTGCGACTAAAATGACAGTACAGTACAAAGTCTTGAGCAGTCTAAAAAATATGAGTAGAAGCCACATTTTTCGTAGGCACATTTTGTATCAAAGGCAGAACAACGTCTGAACCTCCTCAAGTCAGAAAATTTACTCGTTTAAGCAGCTTGAATCGTTCACTGTCTCGCTTAGATGCTAAATGCCGAACGCAACATGAAAAAGCCAGGTGCCAAAAAATAACTATATTCAAAAACTTCTGCGTGGTACAGCACCTACTGACCAGTCTAAAGTTAGCCAATCTCCTCTTCGCCCATGAGAAAGCCCGTCATTTAAGTATCAAGTGACGTAAATGAAGGGTCTACCTTTTATAAGCATAGCATACTATTCATTTAAAAATAGATCAGAAAACTTTGATTGCAATCATTTTGTCACTGCAATTGAAAAATCATTGAAAGTCTGGGAATTCCTTGAGGAACCGTATCAAATTTCACAAATTTGTCAATCGGCTAAAGCTATTTTTCTCCCGTCGTTGAGCATTTTATTTGCTTTTCAGAGAGACCGTGGTACGAAATTACTGAAGCTTTTCCTATTGTGCTATATAACTGTTACTTTTTAAATAACCTATAGTAAAATTACAGCTTTAGTGTTTTGCTACCCCAAAAGTTGTACTTAACAAAATAGCGAGAAAAAAGCAAGATCAGCCTTGAAATTTAAGCTGTATAATTTGCCTTACCTGTTTTGGAAGCAATGTAGAAACAGTCATCTTTGAAAATCTGAAGGTTCTTTCTAACGTAATTAACGTCAGAACCATCTGTAAACTCCACAGCACCTTCAACTTTTTTGTGCAATCCAAGAAGAGCTTTCCCAAGTATACTTCCAGTAATTAATTCTAAAAGCAAATAAATGCTTACTACAAAGTTTGAATACGGTTAAGCAAGAATTTTTGTTTTTAGACTACAGAAATTGCTTTTGACATTTCTGCAGCAGTTACCGTTCACTGCAGGCACTCTCGTCATCATTTTATAGAATAAAACTAACCTTTTAGCTTTCTAAACTTAGAAAAAATAAATGCAAATTTTTTTGTGGTATTTGCACAAAAATCGTGATAATTTTGCAGTGACCTTCTACCTCAAGGTATTCTCGAGCAGCTCTGGTTCAGTTTTTATTTTATGTAAACCTGTTTCATATTCTCTATGCAGAATAAAATTTTAGAAGATATGTAAACTTCTTCGTATTGTATAACACTCAAAAACAAAAAATGTCACCTGTTAAAATGGCATGTTCGTTCTTGTTACTAATTGATAGTAAATGGGATTCGTAAGACATTGAGCCTTGCATTACACAAGCACTTTCGGCTTCTTCAAAACTTTCAACTTTTTTCTGAAAATTTTCAAGACCTGCAGCTAATTACATTACACTAAAGTTGCTCATAGTGGGAAATATTACAGCTAAAGTATGACAAGAAGATGATTTACAGTGGTTGCAGTCCCCTGACAAAGCCGTATGACCTCATATAAATACATATATAGGCCATTCCATGCCAAATCTCACACCTTTGTACATCACCTCAGATTTTTTTCATCTTTTGCTGATTAGTAGAGTCTGGGCTATCATTAAAGCCGCAAAGAAAATTCGGAAAAATGAACTCCCTGCCAAGTTACACACCCCCAAAGTTGCAAAATTTGCCAGGTTGCCACCTGACATGCCTATCTTTGGAGACTTGTAATTTGGTCCGCTCTTAACGTAATTACACTTCTTTTGATGCAGCTTATTTGTCCTGAACTTTTGAAAGAATGTTAAATAATCTCGTTTTGATAAAAATACACGAAGATATAATAAAAACAAAATTTCACACAAACATAGAAGAAAAACTTGTCTTTAAATTTTTTAAAAAAGTTATATTTTGTGTAGAATTTTTTTCTCTACAACATATGAAAATTT